GCTCTATAAATTGTACAAACGACTATAATAGAGAAATAATTATTGCCATTAGTAATAATGATCAATGTTAGTTTTTTTTTTTAAATATTATTATTGTAGATTAAAAATAAATAACTAAATAAAATGAAGAAATAATTTAAAATCTACAATAATAATATTTTCATTCAAAAGCTAACATTGCTCATAGTCTGTGGAGTGCATTACATAAATAAATTAGAAAATAATAATAAAATAAATTTATTTATAAATAATAATAACAACAATAATAATAATAATAATAATATTAACAATAATAATGATAATACAAATAGTAATAATAATAATAATAATAACAATAATAATGATAATACAAATAGTAATAATAATAATAATAATAATAATAATGATAATAATATCAATAACAATAATAATGATAATAAAAATAGTAATAATAATAATAATAATAACAACAATAATAATGATAATAAAAATAGTAATACTAATAATAATAATAATAATAATAATAATGATGATAATAATAATAATAATATCAATAACAATAATAATGATAATAAAAATAGTAATAGTAGTAATAATAATAATAATAATTTAAAATGCCTTTTAAATAATAACAATATTAATAATAACAATATTAATAATAATAACAATAATGATGATGATAATAATAATAATAATAATAATAATATAAATTAATTTTAAATACTACTAATAATAATGATAATAATAACAATAATAATAATAATAAAAATAGTAATAATAATAAAACAACAATAATAATGATAAATAATAATATTAACAATAATAATGATAATACAAATAGTAATAATAATAATAATAATAACAATAATAATGATAATAATATCAATAACAATAATAATGATAATAAAAATAGTAATAGTAGTAATAATAATAATAATTTTAAAATGCCTTTTAAATAATAATAACAATATTAATAATAATAACAATAATGATGATGATGATAAATAATAATAATAATATAAATTAATTTTAAATACTACTAATAATAATGATAATAATAACAATAATAATAATAATAATAATAATAAAAAATAGTAATAATAATAACAAATAATAATAATAATAAATAATAATAATGAAATAAAATAAATACAATAATAATGATAATAATAATAATAATATAATAACAATAATAATGATAATAAAAATAGTAATAGTAGTAATAATAATAATAATTTAAAATGCCTTTTAAATAATAATAACAATATTAATAATAATAATAACAATATTAATAATAATAACAATGATGATGATGATAAATAATAATAATAATATAAAATGAATTTTAAATACTACTAAAATATTAATGATAATAATAATAACAATAATAATAATAAAAATAGTAATAATAATAACAATAATAATGATAAAAAAATAGTGATGAACAATAATAATAATAATAAAGGCGTGTAAAACATCGCTGTGGTCTATAGGTGGCATACAGATGTGAGAGCGGAATTGGTTAAATCCCCCCATTCCTGGTTGTTAAATCTGCACTGTAATCCACTTTGACAATCTGGATTTCTCACATCGTCTACATCAAACTCCTCCCGCCATATGTCGGAGGCCCATCCAAGGAAACTTTATAATCTTCAAAAAAAAAAAAAATCCTGGGCAGGAATTCATGTTATTCCGCTCGGCAGCCTCTCTCCCCCCCCTCTCTCTCTCTCCCCCCCCCCCCCCCCTCTCCCCCCCCCCCCCCCCCCCCCCCCCCCCCCCTCTCTCTCTCTCTCTCTCTCTCTCTGGCTCGGTACTTATTTTCACCTCTTCAAGAACCGGCGGTGAATATTGCCTTGCCTGGTGTGGATTTCTCAGACGGGCCCGGCGCGGTGATTGCCGCAGCGAACACCTGTTATTAGCGGACGAGCCGCGCTGTCTGTTCCACCAGAAGAGCGGGAGGTAATAGTAGCTGTGACCTCCCCAGAAATAACACCTGTGCTGGACAGACTGGGGGGGGGGGGGGGGACCGGGATACAGAGAACACTACAATCACTCCCAGGACGGAATTACACTGCAAATTCTTCAGTGGGATAAAGAAAGAAGGTATTATCTCTGCCCCCGTCACACAATACAGACGCTTTGAAAAAAAAGAACATTTTTATCGTAAGCTTCTTTGAAGCTAAAGACAGCAGGGAAAAGAATAAAAATAATAATAAAAAAAAGAAAAAATAGCTTGCTTCGTGCCAATGTAATCAAAATCAACAGACGCACTTTAACCACTTCCAGTCTGGACACTTTCACCCCCTTCCAGTCCGGACCACTTCCAGTCCGGACACTTTCACCCCCTTCCAGTCCGGACACTTTCCCCCCTTCCAGTCCAGACACTTTCCCCCCCCCTTCCAGTCCGGACTTTTTCACCCCCCCTTCCAGTCCGGACACTTTCACCCCCCCCTTCCAGTCCGGACACTTTCTCCCCCCCTTCCAGTCCGGACACTTCTCACCCCCCATCCAGTCCGGACACTTTCACCCCCTTCCAGTCCGGACACTTTCACCCCCCTTCCAGTCCGGACACTTTCCCCCCTTCCAGTCCGGACACTTTCACCCCCCTTCCAGTCCGGACACTTTCCCCCCCTTCCAGTCCGGACACTTTCCCCCCCTTCCAGTCCGGACACTTTCACCCCCCCTTCCAGTCCGGACACTTTCTCCCCCCCCCTTCCAGTCCGGACACTTTCACACCCCCTTCCAGTCCGGACACTTTCACCCCCCTTCCAGTCCGGACACTTTCACCCCCCCCTTCCAGTCCGGACAATTTCTCCCCCTTCCAGTCCGGACACTTTCACCCCCCCTTCCAGTCCGGACACTTCCCCCCCTTCCAGTCCGGACACTTTCACCCCCCTTCCAGTCCGGACACTTTCATCACCCCCCCCTTCCAGTCCGGACACTTTCCCCCCCTTCCAGTCCGGACACTTTCACCCCCTTCCAGTCCGGACACTTTTCCCCCCTTCCAGTCCGGACACTTTCACCCCCCCTTCCAGTCCGGACACTTTCTCACCCCTTCCAGTCCGGACACTTTCACCCCCTTCCAGTCCGGACACTTTCACCCCCCCCTTCCAGTCCGGGACACTTTCTCCCCCTTCCAGTCCGGACACTTTCACCCCCTTCCAGTCCAGACACTTTCCCCCCCTTCCAGTCCAGACACTTTCACCTCCTTCCAGTCCAGACACTTTCACCCCCTTCCAGTCCGGACACTTTCCCCCCCTTCCAGTCCGGACACTTTCCCCCCCCCTTCCAGTCCGGACACTTTCACCCCCTTCCAGTCCGGACACTTTCACCCCCTTCCTGACCAGGCTAATTTTCAGCTTTCAGCGCTATCACACTTTGAATGACAATTGCGCGGTCATGCAACACTGTACCCGTATGAATTTTTTAGCATTTTTTGAGACAGATAAAGCTTTATTGTGGTGGTATTTATTCACCACTGGGATTTTTTTTTTTTTTTTTGCTATGTAAATGAAAAAGTAAAAAAATTTTGAAAAAAGTGTTTTTTCTTATAAAATTTTGCAAATAAATAATATTTCATCATAAATCTTGGCCAACATTTATTCTGTTATCTTTTTAGTAAAAAAAATAACCCAAATTAGTTTATAACCAAAAATTATAATTTTAAAAAATTTTTTTACATTTTTATTTTATTTTTTTATATTAGTACTTATGTGTTTTTTTTTTTTTTTTTACATACTGTCACCCTAGCAGTACAGTGACACTGTACTACTTGAGGGGGTGATGAAGAATTTTTTTTTTTTTGTTCACTGATTGCTTTTACATCCATAAAGGCTGTAAAAGCAATAATTTCTCCTCTCTGGCTGCATTCTTGCAGTCATTGAGACATACTGTGAGAACTGTGATTGGTCACAGCTTGTCACATGGTACAAGGCTGTTGTGAATAGCCCTGTACCATGTGACCTCTGTGATCATTCACAGATTTGACACGTAGTAAGCAATGATGTCAGAAGTGACATCTTGCTTACTACTCTGCATGTGATCACATGATCGGGACCTCGCAGAGAGGTTCCGTCCGATGATCGGTGTTCTACTGTGTCCGGAGGACACAGCGGGCACTGGATCGCGGTGCTGCGCGCTCCCAGGGAGCGTGCACAAGCAGGGGGCGGGGAGGCCATTTATAAACAGCCAGCCGACCCTGCACTGCCACTGTCCGGCCGTTTATATACAACGACCGGTCGGGAGGTGGTGGTTAAAGTGTTACTAAGCCCACAGCAGTACAATCAATCTGTAGACGCAGGAAAGCATGCTTGTTATACTCACTGTGGGACCTAAGGGATGCACCTGCATTGCGTAAAAAAGCCTGTTTGATCCCGTCTTCTCTGATCCTCCCCTTCTTCTACTGTCCTCAATCCAGCCGCTGATAGAACAGAGCCTTGGGGGCAAGCTGCACATGCTCAGTTTGGTGAATATTGTTAAAGAGTTGTTTTTTTTTTTCTTGGGAGAGTGCATGTGATCAGCACAGGGCCAATCAGCATTGTCCAGACAGAGGGTCAGGGGTTAGGGTCGGTTCACACTATAGAAACACAGTCCAGATGCGTTCTGGATGCGCTGCCACATGTGCGTTTTTGATGCATTTTTGGCACGTTCCAGTGTGTTTTTGATGCTTTACAGTTCATTTTTTAAATTCTTTTTCTTCAATTTAAATAGGAATATGTGTGTTCCAGTGCATTTTGGTGCGTTCCGGTGTGTTTTTGATGTTCTGCATTTTGTTCCAGTACAGTTCTGTGCAGGAAAAATGCAGCCTGTTCTACTTTTTTTTTCTGCTACCGGAACGCACCAGAGCTGCAAGCACTGATGTGAACTATGACACTGACAACCATAGAACCTACTTTCTGTGCGGTTTGGATGCAGAAAAAAGGCAACTGAGATGCATGGAGTGTGAACTGACCCTTACAGGCCTCATAGGACAATCAAGGGAGAATGAATGAAAACTCCTCCTACAAGCTTTAACCAGTGCTCTGCTGGACACTGATATATGTCACAACACTGCTATATACTGCTGATGAGAAAAGGTATTTAGCAGTTTATATTTACTAAAATAATTTCATGTCCATGTTGTGTGTACTGTGGGAGACCAGATATAGTGAATGCAGAGTCCGGGGAGAGCGGATATAGTGAATGCAGGGTCCAGGGAGACCAGATATAGTGAATGCAGGGTCCTGGGAGACCAGATATAGTGAATGCAGGGTCCGGGGAGACCAGATATAGTGAATGCAGGGACCGGGGAGACCAGATATAGTGAATGCAGGGTCCGGGGAGACCAGATATAGTGAATGTAGGGTCCGGAGAGACCGGATATAGTGAATGCAGGGTTCTGGGAGACCGGATATAGTGAATGCAAGGTCTGGGGAGACCAGATATAGTGAATGCAGGGACCGGGGAGACCGGATATAGTGAATGCAGGGACCGGGGAGACCGGATATAGTGAATGCAGGGTCCGGGGAGACCAGATATAGTGAATGCAGGGACCGGGGAGACCAGATATAGTGAATGCAGGGTCCGGGGAGACCAGATATAGTGAATGCAGGGTCCGGGAGACCAGATATAGTGAATGCAGGGACCGGGGAGACCAGATATAGTGAATGCAGGGTCCCGGGAGACAAGGATATAGTGAATGCAGGGTCCGGGGAGACCAGATATAGTGAATGCGGGGTCCGGGGAGACCGGATATAGTAAATGCAGGGTCCGGGGAGACTAGATATAGTGAATGCAGGGTCCGGGGAGACAGGATATAGTAAATGCAGGGTCCAGGGAGACCAGATATAGTGAATGCAGGGTCCGGGGAGACAGGATATAGTAAATGCAGGGTCCGGGGTTTAGGATCTCTTTAATTTTTTTTTTTAACTTGCTCATAGCCTTACTCTGTATATAGGAAGGTATATTATATATTCTTGTTTTCCCCCATTCTTTCAGTTGCGTCCTGGTTTTTGGTCTAGGCCAAAATGATGTCATACATCCCAGGAGTCTTCATGCCAAAACGCACCGAAACACACATGTCCTTATTTAAATTGAAGAAAAAGAGAGGGGGAAAAATGAACTGGAAGGCATCAAAAAATGCATAAAAAATGTGTCAAAAACGCGTATGTGGAAGCTCATCCAGAACTGGACTGGACTTTATTTCTATAGTGTGAACCGGCTCTAACCCCTGACCCTCTGTCTGGAGAGTGCTGATTGGTCCTGTGCTGAACACATACCAAGAAAAAAAAAAACGAACAATATACACCAAACTGACCATGTGGCACTAGTGGGTGGCACTGTTGGACACAGGTGGGTGGCACTGATGGGCAAAGGTGGGTGGCACTGATGGGCAAAGGGGGGTGGTACTGCAGGGCACTGCTGGGCATAGGTGGGTGGCACTACTAGCCACTGATGAGCACAGGTGGGCGGCACTACTAGGCACTGACAGGCACAGGTGGGTGGCACTGCTGGGCACAGGTGGGTGGCACTGCTAAGCACACGGGTGGCACTACTAGGCACTGATGGGCACAGCTGGGTGGCACTGCTGGGCACAGCTGGGTGGTACTGCAGGGCACTGATGGGCACAGGTGGGTGGCACTACTAGGCACTGATGGGCACAGGTGGGTGGCACTGCTGAGCACTGATGAGCACAGGTGGGTGGCACTACTAGGCATTGATGGGCACAGGTGGGTGGCACTGATGAGCACAGGTGGGTGGCACTACTAGGCACTGATGGGCACAGGTGGGTGGCACTGATGGGCACAGGTGGGTGGCACTGCTGAGCACTGATGGACACAGGTGGGTGGCACTTCTGGGCACTTGTGGGCGGCACTGCTAGGGACTGGTGGACGGCACTGCTGGGGACTGGTGGGTGGCACTACTAGGCACTGATGGGCACAGGTGGGTGGCACTGCTGGGCACAGCTGCGTGGTACTGCAGGGCACTGATGGGCACAGGTGGGTGGCACTACTAGGCACTGATGGGCACAGGTGGGTGGCACTGCTGAGCACTGATGAGCACAGGTGGGTGGCACTACTAGGCACTGATGGGCACAGGTGGGTGGCACTGCTGAGCACAGGTGGGTGGCACTGATGGGCACAGGTGGGTGGCACTGCTGGTCACAGGTGGGTGGCACTGCTGAGCACTGATGGGCACAGGTGGGTGGCACTTGTGGGCGGCACTGCTGGGGACTGGTGGGTGGCACTGCTGGACACTGATCAGCAGTGCCCTGATGGTCGGTGCTGATCCGTCCTGTGACAATTGCCGGTTATTGGCAGTACTGTGACAGTGCTTGGAAAGTGCACCTGATTTCCGGCAACTGCAATTACCGGTGATCTGCTGTGTCATTGGACACAGCTGATCACATGGTAAAAGGCCGCTGTGATTGGTCTTTTACCACATCACGCGATCAGCTGTGTCCATGGGACACAGCAATCACAGAGATCACCGGGCGCACACCCCCCGGGGGTGCGCGGGAGGGCGTGTTCTGGGAGAACATCATACAACCCCCTCCCAGAACTGGACAACCGCGCTGTAGACGTCATTCTGCAATAGCGCGGTTGCCAAGTGGTTACAAATGATCCTGTTCCAGCCTGTAATGCACAAACCCTTTATAGTCCCTTTCCTCAGTTCTGCTCCTTTTCATTTTTGTTATATTTTGGTCCCGATCCATCAATGGCGCCGATCAGAATCCGCTGTCTGGCGGCTCGGAGAGAACATTTGGAAGGATCCTGCCACACCGCCTAAACATTTCTGTGGAGTCGGAATGAGGAGTAAGAGAGACCCGTGTAGCTCCTTCAAGGCGTTTGGTAAATACAATTATACTCACTTATTGATCCCATTCTCCATATACTGGGGAGATTTTTCACTTTTCACTTTCTTTTACTTCTGGGGTGAAAAAAAAAAATCACGCTATTGATTTTGCTGAGCCTTTTCCTGGTCTTCCAGGCTAGATGTAGTGGAATTATCTGATGGTTCTTCCATTTATCTGCAGCGCCGCAAACATGGCAGCTGTGAAGCCGGGTGTGAGGATTTATAAGAGGACTCGAGTTCTGTCCCGACAACCGAGGCCGGTGTTAAAGGGGAAGAGCGTTGGATGTCCATCGAGGACATAAATGAATGTGTTACAACAGTAAAATCAGTCTGTGTACGTGCAGTATGAAGCATAAAGTTAAAAAAATAGTTAAAGTGTTACTACGCCCCGGACCCTGCATTCATTATATCTGGTCTCCCCGGACCCTGCATCCATTATATCTGGTCTCCCCGGACCCTGCATCCATTATATCTGGTCTCCCCGAACCCTGCATCCATTATATCTGGTCTCCCCGGACCCTGCATTCACTATATCTGGTCTCCCCGGACCGTGCATCCATTATATCTGGTCTCCCTGGACCCTGCATCCATTATATCTGGTCTCCCTGGACCCTGCATTCACTATATCTGGTCTCCCCGGACCCTGCATCCATTATATCTGGTCTCCCCGGACCCTGCATCCACTATTTCCGGTCTCCCCGGACCCTGCATCCACTATATCCGGTCTCCCCGGACCCTGCATTCACTATATCCGGTCTCCCCGGACCCTGCATTCACTATTTCCGGTCTCCCCGGACCCTGCATTCATTATATCCGGTCTCCCCGGACCCTGCATTCACTATATCCGGTCTCCCCGGACCCTGCATTCACTATATCCGGTCTCCCCGGACCCTGCATTCACTATATCCGGTCTCCCCGGACCCTGCATTCACTATATCCGGTCTCCCCGGACCCTGCATTCACTATATCCACTCTCCCAGGACCCTGCATTCACTATATCTGGTCTCCCCGGACCCTGCATTCACTATATCTAGTCTCCCCGGACCCTGCATTCACTATATCTGGTCTCCCCGGACTCTGCATTCACTATATTCGGTCTCCCCGGACCCTGCATTCACTATATCTGGTCTCCCCGGACCCTGCATTCACTATATCTGGTCTCCCCGGACCCTGCATTCACTATATCTATGTCTCCCCGGACCCTGCATTCACTATATCTGGTCTACCCGGACCCTGCATTCACTCTCTAGCAATACAAACCAAACTGAGCATGTGTAGATTGCCCCCCAAGGCTCTGTTCTAGTAGCAGGTGGAATGGGGACAGCAGAAGGGACCCTTAGGTCCCACAGTGCGTATAACAAGCATGCATTACTGTATATACAGACTGATTTCGCTGTTGTGGGTTTAGTAATACCTTCATGTATGTCCTCGATGGACATCCGATACTCTAAAGGGACTATAAAGAGTTTGTGCATTACAGGCTGGAACAGGATCATTTTTAAAAATATATTTTTTTTTATCACCGAGTAAATATAAAATTTTTATATTAATAATTTTCAGCTAGAACGTGGAACATAAAAAGGAACTAAACTCTCTTAATGAACAATTAAAGTGTTACTAAACCCGCAACAGTGAAATCAGTCTGTATATGCAGGAACGCATGCTTGTTATACTCACTGGGGAATCTAAAGGGGGTTACTCCTCCTCAAAGGCTGTTTGATCCTATCTCCTCTGATCCTCCTCTTCTTCTGCTGTCCCCAATCCATCTGCTGAAAGAACAGAGCCTTGGGGGGCAAGCTGCACATGCTCAGTGTGGTGTGTATTGCTAGAGAGGTTGTTTTTTTCTCTTGAGAGAGTGCATGTGATCAGCACAGGGCCAATCAGCACTGTCCATACAGAGGGTCAGGGGTCATGCAGCCTCATAGGAAAATCAGGAGAGAAAGAAAACTCCTCCTACAAGTGTTAACCAGAGCTCTGCTGGACACTGATAGAAGTCACAAGCCTGCTATATACGGCTGATGAGGGTCCGGGAAGCTGCTTGTTATGGGGGCACCTGACAGACAGGAGGAGCCAGGAGAACCTGCGGGGGACCCAAGAAGAGGAGGATCCAGGCTCCTCTGTGCCAAACCACTGCAAACAGCAGGTAGATATAGACATGTTTGTTACTTTGCAAGAAAAAAAAAATGAAACTTTAACTTTCGCTTTAACTAATTTAATTAAACAAAATGAGCTAATTAATGAGTTGAAACAAAACCATTTTTCTCATTCTGCACATAGCTAATCTCAATTTGAGATGATGCTTTGGAGGCCAAAGGAGACTAGTAGATCCTGAGATGTCTCCAAAAAGAGGACCTGTCATGGCCCATGCTATCACAAAGGGATGTTGATAGCAATAAAAGTGATACAAAAAAGGAAAGGTTCAGTGTAAAAAAAAAAAAAGATAAAATAAATAATACAATGTTTAAAAATGTTTAAAGTGTCCCCATTCCCAGGTGCTCACATGCAAATGAGAACGCACACATCAGTGCCGCATGCATATGTCAATGGCAATTGCACCACACATGTGAGGTATCGCCGCAAACGTTAGAACGAGAGCAATAACTCTAGCACCAGACCTCCTGTGTAACTGTAAACTGGTAACGTGCAAAGGCTTTTAACTCCCCCGGAGGTATTCCTGAGTGTAGCTCGGGGTAAAGTTTCAGCACCACAAGCAGTGGCTACACTCGGGAATACACTGCAGCGTTGCTCCGGGATCCCTCGATCACTTACCTTGTCCTGCGCTCCCGTGATGTCCCTCCTGCAGTGTCCCCGGCAATGTCCTCCGGCCGATACTGGCATCTGTCTTCCGGGTTCCGTTCCCTGCAACGTCGGGACGTATGGGG